AAAAAAAAAACAAGTACAAAAAAACATAATGCGCATAAAGAAAAATCTCCACAGCCAAATCCGCATCATCTAACAAAATTCATCATGATAACGTCAGAATAGTTATATATATGTAACCACCAACGAAGAAAAAGATAAAAGAGCTAACTTTCTTCCTGTGATCTGGCATCATTTCCTTCAAAAATCCAAACCCTGATTCAAAATCAGCAGCCCCTTCACCCAAGAGAACTGAACGAAATGAATCCAAATATTATCCCCAAGATTCTCAAGAAATGATGAGCAGGCCACTCAGCCGCATTTGCCCCATCTACCGCGGCTTCGGATGGCCAAGGAGCAGTCCCACCTCGTACGCTTCGTGTTATTGTTAAAGACAAAGAGAAACCGATCCTTCATAAAACGATCCCCTCCTCCTTCTTCTTCTTGTTCACCAAAAATCATAGAACAACAGGGCCAACCATCAAAAAGGGGGAAAAAAACCCAATGCAAGAAAACACAGGAAAATTACACCAATGTGAAAACTCTCTCTCTCTCTCTCTCTCTCTCTCTCTCTCTCTACCAGACAATCTACTGAATTGGGCACTGTGCAATGTGAGTGCCTGAGTATGTGTGGATCTCAAGGTACCCTTTAGCGGCAGGTAGAGGGTAGAGAGAGATCCGACACCGACAGAAAGCAGAGAGGAGGTTGGGTTTTAGAGAGAGAAGTTAAGAGCGATGGTATAAACATGTGAAAGTTTGAGAAAATTGCTAAATTTACCCTATAAAATTGCACTTGTTACAAATGTTACTTCCAAGTTACATAATTTAGATATTTAAAACTAATGTAGGTCGATTTATATAATTTTAAGTTTAAGAAAATCAAATTCATTAAATCTAAAAAACAAAAATAGTTTATAAGTTGAGATTGAATACAATTTTTTTCTAGATAATAAAAATTTAGAAAATTAAAATTATGAATGAAAATTAAAAAAATACATTTTTTTTTACAATCCGTCTAACATAATTAAAATATAGTAGCCACTCATTATTATATCTATTTGGAGTCAAAATAATATTAGCTCACCCACATATTTTATAACAGGCAGTGTTCTATAAGTTTGATGAAGATCATGTATCGCTAGATTCGATTTTGTGAAAATCCGCTAGATTCGATTTTGTGAAAATCCGCGCTGATGTCAGTCGGTTAACACGAGATTTGTGCTCGAATGCGAGCGATTTTTTGATTTCTTATTGCATAAGTTTTTTCAAATGATCAATACATGCGTTTTAAAGAAAGTAAAATACTAGAATTACAACTGTTGTCCTAGAAACATATAAATTAAAGAAAGCACAGGGACTATAAAATTGAGATCACTTGAAAAAAATAGTAAGTTAACGCGAAATTAATGAAGCGAATGACCACAAACACAGTTAAGAAAATGTCAGTGAAAAAATATGGAAGAATTGTGGAATATATTATATCCATACGAGTTTATTAAGAAATTCTTGTCCGACCATAAAACAGACATGACACGTCAAAAGGTGAAATTTAAGCCTAAACTTCACAAAAATAAACATCATGAAAAGTGTATCATTGAAGGGAGATAGATAATATATACTGAACTCTTTAACCTGGATAATAAAATAATATGACCCATCTATGACTGCTTTCCGAAGCATTTTCAATTCCCCTTTATCAAAAGGTTTTCTCAGAGCATCTACGATTTTTTTCCGGAACCCGGTTGTGTGACTGAAGCTCGAATCCTCCTCCATCTTTATATTTAATGACATGAGAAAAAAGTAACAATTACTGATAAGCCCGTATTAAGATTAAAGGAAACTCGTAAAAGAACACACATAAAAATGATTGATAATTCGTTTTAAGAAAAACACAAAAGAAAAGAACGCCTACGCTTTTATGAAACCTCATTGAAGGTTCAAAGGAGCTCAAATTCTTACGAATCCAAGCACCATAGAGAATTTCCAAATCAGTATTGGTTTCACTTTCATCATCTTCAAAACGACTCCCATCACAATTAGTCTTAGTTGTAAGAATCGGGGGTAAAACGGGTGCGGTACCATGCAGATGAAGCGCACCATGACAGGAAAAACTCAGATGAAGCCAAGTGAGGTTCCATCCCAAAACCAATTGGTGGTAGGAGGAGTAGCCCACTAGACTTATAAATTAGGCCAATTTTCCATGTATAAACGATGTGGGTCAACTCACAAGTGATATTCTAACACTAGTAACATTTCCATACATTTGCTTCCTACTCGATCTAGCTTTCACATTGTCATCCTCAATCTTCGGACATAAGAAAAGCCACAGTTCCCTTGACCCAATTTTTCTACCCGGTTCGCTTTATCCTTTTTTCCCGCTTTCACTCTGTCGTGATCCAAATCCTCACTTTTTACCTGAATCAATGGCTTTGTGTCCTCAATATCTTTTGTGACCACTTTCTTAGCCTTGAGTGATTTCATAACTCGTCGAGCTCCAAGCCGGCCACTTGCTCGGTTGGCTTGTTGACATAAAGGCACGCTATTATCTGCCTCATTCCCAATAAAGTGCAGATGTTTCCTAGCACGGTCAATTTCAGTTTTCTCAGCACGGCCTTTCGTCTTCATACGACGTTTATCGTGTTTAGGTCCCACTATTAAATTATTTAACAAATATCATAGGCTCCTAGATATTCCGTTAATTGTCATTTAAAGAAATTTGGTACAAAACCCGCACACTACACATAGAATGTATAGAATGAATAGTGGGTACTGGGTAGCATTAATTTATAGAATGAACAATGGGTACGAAACCCGCATACAACACAAACGCGCCAAATTTGACCGCACGTCGCAACGCGGAAAAATTATAATTTATATTTTCCTTAACCGACATCTACCAACTAGTAGTAGTAGTGAGCTCGAACCCACAAGGAGTGTGAAATTTAATTGCAATTATTTTCTTTAATTGAAAGTAGGGAAATAC